CCAGCACATGCGCAGTTGCTTCAGGGGATACATATCTTCATGGGTCCGAGATACCCATTTTGCCGCTACACCGGGGGCAGCTGTCACTGTGCCGGGAATCTGGGATCACCCCAATAACTGTCCAGGACTTTCACAGAGCCCAGAAGCTCTGCTGGCATCCGGCTCCTGCACCCCTTGTGATGGTGTCACCCAGTGCGGCCCGCACCCCCCTAGGGACGCCACTGGCCCAAAGCCTTGCTATTTAGATAGTAATGCAGAAAGTGCCCCTAAAAATTGTAAGTGGGCACTGCATTAATTATATATACATATACAGAAAACAAAGTACCGTATTTATTCGAGTATAGCGCGCAAAATTTTCTACCAAAAAAAGAAATCAAAGTTTGGGTGCGCGTTATAAACGAGGGCTGGGGTGGGGTGACGCAGTGGCGGCCGATCCATTGAGGGCGCAGGCGCTCACTGTACGCGAAGAAAAAAAAAACGTCCCCTGTGCCGGCCCCGCCCCTTTAAGGGGCGGCGAAAACAGGGGATCGTTTTTTTTTTTCTATGTCCCCTTGTCGCGTACAGTGGGCGGCCCGAACTGGCGAGATGCACTGGTGAGGTGACGCAGTGGCGGCCGGTCCATTGAGGGCGCATGCGCTCACTGTAGAAAGAAAGAAGAAAAAAAAAAACGTCCCTGTGCCTCTTCATTTCGTATGGTCGCCTCTTCATTTCCTTTCCTCGCCCACACGTTACGGTAAGCATTGCTGTTTTGCTGTGTTCTTCATATTATATTCATATTCAGTGTTCTTCATATTTTATTTATTAATATACTGGTACCCGTTAGATGGCAACTCAGGGTATCAAGAGAAAACGTTCTGCATATGACGCTTCATTCAAGCTCAAAGTTGTTGGTCATGCTGAAATTCACGGAAATCGAGCAGCTAGCCGAGAATTCACTGTACCAGAGACGAATGTTAGAGAATGGAGAAAACAGAAAGTCGTCCTGAAAGATATGAATAAAACCAAAAAAGCACAACGAGGGAGACAAGCCATGTACCCAGACATGGAGAAGGAACTTTATGAATGGATCATTGACCAAAGAAGTAGTGGGTACATCGTCACATCACTCCACATTAGACTTCAAGCCCAAAAGTTTTGCAAAGATTCAACCTTCAAAGCCTCTAATGGATGGACACAAAAGTTTATGAAAAGGCATGGACTTGTAATACGCCAGAAAACAAAGATAGCGCAGAAGCTGCCAAATGATTTAGCAGAGAAGATCACTTCATTCCATACCTTTATAATCAACCAACGCAAGCAGATTAATTTTGAACTTTCACAGATAGGCAATATGGATGAGACCCCCATGTGTTTTGACCTACCAGGCAACAGGACAATTGACAGCAAAGGGAAGCACACGGTCCAGATTAAAACCACAGGCCATGAGAAAACTCATTTTACGGTTGCATTATCCTGTATGGCAGACGGTTTTAAACTTAAACCAATGGTGATTTTTAAAAGAAAGACTATTCCAAAAGGAGTTAAATTTCCACCAGGTGTCGTGATCCATTGTCATCCTAAAGGATGGATGGATGAGAAGGGCATCATTTTTATGGTTAAATAAAGTTTGGAATACTAGACCAGGCGCACTACTGAAGAAATCCATGCTTGTATGGGACCAGTTCCGCTCACACCTGACAGACACTGTGAAAGACAAACTGAAAAGTCTAAAGACATTTCAAGCTGTGATTCCAGGTGGACTAACCTCTATTCTTCAGCCACTCGATGTTGTTTTAAACAAACCCTTCAAAGACAGAGTCAGGGAAAAGTGGATTACCTGGATGAAATCCGACGACAAAGAATTGACTGCAAAAGGAAACCTCAAGAAACCTGGCCTATCTCTCGTGACATCTTGGATTAAAACATCATGGGAAGACATGCCAAAAGAAATGATCATCAAGAGTTTTTTAAAGACAGGCATCAGCAATAAAATGGACGGCACAGAAGACGACCTGCTGTGGAATTCAGACTCAGAAGAAAGCGAAGAAGCTGGAGAAACAGATGTTCCTGCCAACTGGGACACTGATGATAAATTAACTCTAGAAGAATGGGAACAACTCTTTAGTGTATCTGATGATGATGAATCTGACTTTGAAGCATTTTAAATAAATATTGTTACCGGTAATTTTATTTCGGTATTGTGTTTACCTTGTCAATAAATGATTTTTATCATGGCCGCACGTGTTCAACAACGTTTGTCACTTACAATGCTTGGTCTGAGCCGAGAAAAAGTGAAACAAAATTTTTATACCGATTTTTAAACAAAAATTAGGGGTGCGCATTATACACGTGTGCGCGTTATACTCGAATAAATACGGTAGCTGTATCTTATGTACATTCTGTACTAGTGTAGGCTACTGCTTAAGAGTAAGAGGGAGAAAGGCAGCATGAGTGGGCACCAGGCATTTCTGCCAGTCCTTGTAGGACCCCCTTGAGGGCAGACCCAGCGGTGTCTTCTTCCACTGCTACCAGGAGATTTATATTATCTTACTTTCATATGTTCACCCTTGCAAAATCATTTTATGTTCTGTGCTTGTCTCTAGGGAACTCATCTGGTGACAGTACGTATGTTAATCTGCAAGATTTTAAAGCACAGAAAACAGAGAATCATCCAAAAAGTGAAGGTAATTTATTACTACTAAGATGTAACTAATTTTTATCCCTGAGTACTAAAGAAACATGCACTAAATAAGACATTTATCTTCTGCTAACATGTATGGAAGTGCAATATTGGCCCTAAAAATCATATCCAACAACTTAGGGGGCATTTGTATTTGAGAGGAGTAGGTGGCTTGCAAAAAGCAGACACATGAAACACCCCGCTTTAATGGCTATAATCAGGATTATGTTCCATGGTGTAAAGCATAAATTCTTCTCATTGTAGAGCCATTCAACAAAATACAGTGTTTTATCTAGTGCGTAGCAGCCATTTAGCAGATAATGTTTTTGGGAGGGAAGGCAGCACATGGGATGACCTGGCAATTTGTTTCCTTTCTAAATTCTCACTGTACAGTGTAAGGGCCTTGGGAGTGCAAGTAAGAGTCCCTTTCACGAACACATTTTCCCAAGGCTGATACTTACTTGTATTTTTCTAAAATGTAGGTCCAGTCCTAAGATGCTATAAACAACTTTATTACAACCTGACGCAGAGAGAAGGTGGAATACCCAAGAATGTGACATCTAGGATCCTAAAATTTCTCAGGGCAGGCAGTTGTTGGTTGGGGGTTCAGATCCAAGAGCACAGAGCTACCACTGGAGTAACTCTCCAAAAAACGTAAGGTTCTTGTGTTGCTCAGTTCCAGTTATACTAGCTACTGTAACTGCAGCTTCAGGATACTTCCAGGCACACAGCCTAAGGGCTCATGTACACGGGGGCATTTGGAAAACTCTTCTGAACGATGGAAACTCACTGCTGAAAACATAGGTTAAAAAACATCAGTTTAGCTGCGTTTTCATACCACGTTTATGTGCGTTTGCGTTTAGAAGCGTTTTTAAAAGATAACCTCAGGAGACCCTCCCAAATGCCCAGACTGCACTGAAAAATAGTAAAAAATTAACTATTTTCAGACATTTTGAGAGTAATAGAGCGAGCAGAAGCAGAGAGAGCAGTATGTGTTGAGATTACCGGTCTTTTCTGGTTGTATTCACTATGGATCCCATCATGAGCATAATACGGCACATTCTACCATTTTTTCCTTCACGCGAAACCTGGAACTGACTGTGCTGGTGTACCGGGTCCATTTGAATACATGGAAAAGGCTTTGCATGCATTTCTGAGGATGAAAAAAGGCTCTGGACAGCATCTGGACATGGAACACTTAAAAAACGCTTCTAAATGCAAATGCTTATAAACGCAGTTAACTGCATTTACACACATTTACAAGCATTTGGCGTTTGAAATGTTGGTAAAATCTACACCCAAACGCAAGTTTGGTGCGTTCAAAAAAATGACTGTAAACTCAATTGCCTGTAAACGACTATGTATACATGGACACATAGGAATACATTAGGCAGAGTTCAGGGGCTGCTGAAAAAAACGCTGAACAGCTCCTGAACGTCAGTTTAGGAGCTGCAGTGTACATGAGCCCTAATTCTGTACTCCACTAAGCATACAGCTTCTGGGTACCCAACCAACAGGAGACCCTCTAGGCATGAGCTACAGGCCAGGCCAAACCTTCTAAGCTGGGGCTCTAGCCCTGGGGTCTCCGAACAGGCACACAGTCTGCCTACCTAGGATCTTTCCCCCAGTCAAGGACCCTTCCAGAATAGAGCTCAGCTATTTTGTAGAAGAATGGTTCAATCCTCTGATGAGGTCACCAGGGCTAACAGGACAGGCAGAACTCTCTGTATCACACCCCTGTAACAGGACTCTGGAGCCCACTAAAAAAGTCTGTCGGAGAACCCCTCAGCACAGCATTCTAAAAAAGCTCTAGCAAAATATAAAAAAACTAGGGATGAGCCTAGCTTTGGTATGAAACCCTGGTCACCGGAAAGATTTTGGCAGCGACAACCTAATTAGCTGTGGCCTGCACATTCCCTGCCCCACAACTGCACATACACAAAGGGGTGGAAATGATAGTGACACCATTGACTTTCTATAGCCATATGGCCATGTTATGTCAATGACATTGACCTCATATGGTCATGTGGCTATGTTAAGTCAATGACTTTACAAGAATTCTAGTCACTTTGGGTATGTGCATCTGCAAGGCAGAGAATGCCCCTGGGGTGGCACTGAAAGCATCCTTCCAGGTTCAGCTGAACATGGGTTTGGACCAAACTCAAGTTAATTCCTATTCTAAGCAAATAACTAAAGCTGGCCAGTCAGAGAATACATCCCTGCATAAGTAATGTATACCCCCTTGAAGCCAATGTGTATGAGTCTTAACTCTCTCAGATACTCCTTGATCCTACACCAGCTGCAGATACATTCACTAACCCTGTGTCTATATTTATTTCAGGGGCTCCAGCTGCCAACAATACCCAATATAAGATTATACTGATACTGGTGGTTTTCTTAATCTTGATGTTCCTTACTTTGGTCATCTTAACAAGTCTTCTGTTTATTAACTGTGAGTATCAGTCATAAAGTCATAATCTCTGTTATAAGAATCAATAAAAGAAAAAATATATTTTCCTAATTTTGGGTTGCATCTTTTGACTTTAGCTCTTTTGTCAGTTTATCATAGTATGGGCTTGGCAGAAATTTTCCACGAATAGTAACTATAGTAAGTCATACTGCTGTATTGTGGTAACTTCCTTCTACTCTGATTAGCCAGTATTAGAATAGTATACACATGAAATGGTTCTATTTCCAAAACTGAGTTCTTTTAATTTATGGACAGAATAGAGATGGGTAAGATCTTCTGCCAAGTTTTTACTGCTGTCTGTGCCTCTACTGGGTGAGATTTGCACTCTCAATTTGTCCTGGTGGCCATTGTCACCAAGACAGAAAGTGATGAGGTATAGACATTTGCAAACTTTTACAAAGTGCTGACATGTTGCAAGAGCCTGTCTGGCATTACAAAACTTTACCCAATGCTGAGTTACATATAAATATCTGTATGTACAGTTGCAAGAAAAAGTATGTGAACCCCTTGGGATTACGTGGAGTTTTGCATGAATTGGGCATAAAATGGGCTCTGAACGTCATCTAAGTCACAACAATAGAAGAACACAGTCTGCTGAACATAATACTACACAAACATTAGATGTTGCCATGGTTTAATTGCACATAACATGTAAACATTCACAGTGCAGGGAGGAAAAAGTATGTGAACCTTTGGACTTAATAACTGGTTGACCCTCCTTTGGCAGCAATAACCTCAACCAAACGTTTCCTGAAGTTGCAGATCAGACCTGCACAACGATCTGGAGTCATTTTGGACAAAACTGTTTCAGTGTAGCAATATTCTTGGGATGTCTGGTGTGAATCGCTCTCTTAAGGTCATGCCACAGCATTTGAATCGGGTGGAGGTCAGGACTCTGACTGGGCCACTCCAGAAGGCGTATTCTGTGCTGTTGCAGCCATTGTTTTGTTGAATTACTTGTATGCTTTGGGTCATTGTCCTGTTGCATCACCCATCCTCTGCGGAGCTTCAGTTGGCGGACAGATGGTCGTACGTTTTCCTGCAAAATGTCTTGATAAACTCTGGAATTCATTTTCCCATCAATGACAACAATCCGTCCAGGCCCTGAGGCAGCAAAGCAGCCCCAAACCATGATGCTCCCTCCGCCATGTTTTACAGTGGGGATGAGGTTTTGATGTTGGTGTGCTGTGCCTTTTTTTCTCCACACATAGTGTTGTATGTTCTTCCCAAACAACTCAATCTTGGTTTCATCTGTCCACAGTATATTTTGCCAGTAGTGCTGTGGAACATCCAGGTGTTCTTTTGCAAACTTCAAACATGCTGCATTATTCTTTTTGGACAGCAATGGCTTCCTCCGTGGTGTCCTCCCATGTACACCTTTCTTGTTTAATGTTTTCCTTATTGTAGATGTGTCAACAAAAAATGTTAGCATGTGCCAGAGATTTCTGTAGGTCTTTAGCTGACACTCTGGGATTCTTCTTTACCTCATGCAGCATTCTGCGCTGTGCTCTTGCAGTCATTTTTACAGGACGACCACACCTAGGGAGAGTAGCAACAGTGCTAAACTTTCTCCATTTGTAGACAGTCTGTCTTACCGTGGACACATGAACATCAAGGCTTTTGGAGATACTTTTGTAACCCTTTCCAGCTTCATGCAAGTCAACAATTCTTGATCGTAGGTCTTCTGAGAGCTCTTTTCTGCGAGGCATGGTTCACATCAGACAGTGCTTCTTGAAACCAGTAAACCCAAAACAATTGTGTGTTTTTTAAGGGCAGGACAGCTGTCAGCAACACATCCAATATAATCACACTGATTGGAGTCAAGGTTGGCTCACTCCTGGCTCCAATTAGCTCTGGGAGAAGTCATTAAGCTAGGGCCTCACATACTTTTTCCTCCCTGCACTGTGAATGTTTACATGTTATGGGCAATTAAACCATGGCAACATCTAATGTTTGTGTAGTATTATGTTCAGCAGACTGTGTTTTTCTATTGTTGTGACTTAGATGACGTTCAGAGGACATTTTATGCCCAATTCATGCAAAACTCCACGTAATCCCAAGGGGTTCACATACTTTTTCTTGCAACTGTAGCACCCTCCTAGGTACGGTAGCTAGGAAGATCTCTAGCTCTAATTGCTAGTCAGGAGGGCTGAGTTGCACCCTATGTGTGATAGCTATCAGGGTTAAATTTGGGTCAGAGCTGAGAGGTTCTGCAGACCAGCTCTCTGAGACTTCCCCCCTGCACTAGAACATTGCAGAAAGTTCTAGAAGCAGTGGACAGAGGTGAGAAGTGACTAGTCAGTACTCTTAGAGGAACCTGGCCAATCCCCACAGGAGGCTTGGCAAGGGGCCAGGGCAGCCTTTAAGAGTAACTGGAGCCTTCCCAGCAGGGAGAGAGTTTGGGTGGAAGATGAAGTGAGGCTAGAAGACAGGAGTCTGGGAGGGGGCCCAGATGGGAGAGGGGCTCACCTCCAGGTAGAAAGCTTGGAAGGAGGAAAGGTTGGAACTTCACTGACCCCCTGAGAGAGGACCACCTGTGTGGCAGGGAAAGAGCAGCCCAGCTAGAAGACCTGGTAGCAGCCACTGACCCACCAGCAACACAGTAGTAGGACTGAGTGAGTAGACCTGCACCCCCTGGGCCAGTTAGGGGAAGGAGCACTCAGATTAGTGACTACCCGGGACTGTCTTACCTTGAAGCGACAGGCACTGGATCCCTTGCTCAGGGATTCACCCAGATTGGCTGGACTAGGAGAATTCAGGGTCTGGGGTGGTACAACCAGAGACGCTGGCAAGCTCTTCAACAATAGGATTTTTTGCTGTATAAACTTGTATATAGTTCCAGTTGTCCTTGGTTTCACAGTTCCATTAGGCATCCCCGTTCACCCCTAACCCTTTCCCAGTTCAAGCCCCCTAATAAAACTTCAAAACAAAGCTCAAGGACTGGTTATTGTCTCCTGGATGCAAATTAATGTGACAATTCATGTTGCCTGACTGTGCAGGACTATAGGGACCCAAAACTTCAGCAACTCCTAAGGGGGTATTGCTACATATATATACAATAGCTGTGACGTGTTTAGGTACGCAAATCAGTAATTAACTGCTGCCTAACATTACAAAAACAAATATGTTGTCCATTCCCCTTGCATCTACTGAGGAACTACAATGCAATGCATTGACTGGGTCCACAGGCTGTCATATGCTAAGAGCACTGGGACTTGTAGTTCCACTCAAACATCTACAGGTTGCCTGTGCCTGTGTTGTGTTCTATGAATCATCGTTAGAGCATAAGCTGCATCAGGGAATCTTTTAGCTCATGATTAGATTCCTTTGTGTTAGCAGGTTTGATACTTCTCACAGTCCCAATTCACCTTCTCTAAAACTACCCATGTTGTCTGACCATGCTCCAAACAAAACAGCAAGTTCCTTGTGGAATCTGGCATAATGCATATGGTCCTGGCAGGGGCGGACTGACCATTTGGAAACTTGGGCACTGCCTGAGGGCCCAGGGTCAGTAGGGGGTCCCATGAGATGCCCCTGGTACCTTTTTCATAGGCTTTTTTGAGTTTTGGCAAGGACACAGGGGCCCCATGATCCCCTATTGCCCAGGGGCCCCATGAGTTGTCAGTCCACCCCTGGGTCCTGGTTGTAATGGTGATGGTGGTGCTCTAGGATATACTGTGGAGCAGGTAATGTTGCTGAGGGTCCCGGGGAGTTGGATGACTCGGAATAAGGTCAAATCCACGGCCTTTCTACAGAAATCAGAACGACTAAGGGAATCACACTATTTGTTTTTGTTCTAGCTTTCATATGTAGCACCCCTCCTGCTTAGCGGAGAGAATAGCAGACTTACCTCCAGGTAGGAGAAGGCTAGCATTTATTTTTTTATTACAGGTACTCATATAGCATCGACAATTCACATATACAGTATGTTGTACATTCATATAAGTCACTGCGCTCAAGGAGCTTATAATCTAAGGTCCGTAACTCACATTCATACAACGCATACTAGGGCCAATTCAGACAGGAGCCAATTAACCTACCAGTATGTCTTTGGAGTGTGAGAGGAAACCGGGGCACCCGGAGGAAACCCATGCAGGTACAGGAAGAACATGCAAACTCCAGGCAGGATGTGCCATGGTTGGGATTCCAGTCGAAAGCCCCAGTGCTGCCAGGCAGAAGTGCTAACCACTTATCCACTGTGCCGCATTTCCCTCATGGCGGATCCATGACCACAGTGGAGAGTGTCACACAACAAGTAAGAGCACCAGTCACTTTAGAATTTTGTAGTTTCAGGTGCCAAGATTCTCCAAAAGCAGATATGCCAGTTTCCCTCCAACAGACATCCATCAGGCTAAAGGAGGGCCAGTACTCTCTGAGAGCAGCAACCAATCCCCAACCAGCAGACATCCACCGGGCTCTTGTGTCTCAGGAGCATACCCCCAAGTACTAGTGGGAGCCAGAAGGGACAGAAGAGCTCAATAGCAAAAGATTTGCTTTGTCCCATTCTTATAGTCTTAAGTGTCAGTATCAGCTAGTGGTGATAGTAGGATACTATAGCAATTCTGAGACACGGGAGAAGGCAAATAAGAAATCGCCCATTATCCCAGGCAAACTACTATCCAGGAAAGATAAAATTTAGACACCCACTATAATACAGGGTGGCTACACATATATATATGTTCTATCACTTATATTGTTCTATACTTTCTTCCCAGATAAAACCATCTCAAAGGAATTGTCACAACAGAAAAAATAATGGTAAGGGGTTAAGAAACAAACTGATTCTGCAATTTTATTGACATTTTGTCACAGAATATTAATTCAACTGTTTATCAAATCAATATTTTCAGTATAAAGTGCACTCAAATTAATTTTAATGCACACAATCACAACATAATACTAGAGTCAGTAAAAGAGATGAGGTTGTGTTGAGTAAATACTAGATACTAAAGATGTGAGCCTCAAAATTGCGTGCACCTGCGAAATGCTGAAAAATGACAGTACCCAACATTTTCCATAGGCAACTCTTTAAAAGATTTTATGGCTTTTTTTTAATCAGTGGAAAACAGCTCTTTAATTTAGAAATAACAGTGAATGATGGCCACCATGTTAATAAGCCCCCTATGTAATAGTCCAGGGGTCAGGTTTTCTTTAAGGAGACATTGTGGGGTTTATTTACTAAAGCTGGAGAGTCCAAAATCAGACTCCCTTCTGCATAGAAACCAATCAGCTTCTAACCTCAGCTTGTTCAATGAAGCTTTGGCAATGAAACCTGGAAGCTGATTGGTTTCTATGCAGAAGTGAGTCTGATTTTGCACTCTCCAGCTTTAGTAAATAAACCCCTATGGGTCCCCAATGTCATTCTTGCATCCTGTTGAAGCTGATCAAGCACATTACCCTTTTCTGGAGTTTATGTTAGATGTCAAAGAAGGGGGTGACTTGCACAGTGGAGTCTACAGGAAACCCACATGGACCGGTATCTGCTTTTTGACTACCACTGGATCACTATTCAAGCTAGGGTCTAAAAACAGATTTCAGAAGGGTTTTGTGGTTGCCCAGACTGGGCTTTTAATAAAACATCCACAAGGTCAGGCATGAAATAAAAAAAAAACATGATACCATCAAACAGAGAGAAATGGCAGAATACATGTAGTAATAGAGTCATGTCATATGTGGCTGAAGTGTCGGGAAAACTCAGAAACATTTTTTTCACATGTCCTGTGTTTATCATGTTCAGCAACACACTGGCAAAGAAACTTGTACTTCCAAAAGATCCAACAACCAAAAAAATAGAGTAACCAGGGATATGCAGTCTTGTATAATGAGGAATGCAAAGACCTGAGTGATGGGTGACAAAACAACTGTCTAACAAATATTTGGTTCAGCGCTGAAAGGCAAATTTTGTGGGCCAAAATTCAGCAGTCTTCATACACCTTCAGGAAAACAGTCAGTCTTTCAAGGTCAGAAAAGTGCACATCTTAGATAGACAAGGCAATTGGTTTGCAAAAGTAGAGAAACTGGCTATAAATATGCATGCTAATAGTACATCTCTTTCAGCTACTTGTACTGTGTTTTTTTTCCGTGGTGTATTGTACTGTAAGTGTCTCTGAATGCACCTCATGTACTCTTATTGCCTGTCTTTGAAGAAACTGAAATAATGAAGAATCAACTGAATGAACTGGAGAACATAGGTCAGTGACCAAACAACTGATATTTTCATGTATGGCGTTCATAGGATACAAATTTGAAAACATACACTGCTCCAAAAAATTATAGTATAGCGTCAAGGCAATTAAACTACTGGGATATTTATCTCTTCAGTTAAGTAGCAGAGGGGGTTGTTAATCAGTTTCAGCTGCTTTGGTGTTAATGAAATTAACAACAACAGGTGCACTAGATGGGCAACAACGAGATGACCCCCAAAACAGGAATGGTTATACAGATGGAGGCATTGACATTTTTTTCCCTACTCATCTTTTCTGATGTTTGTTTTTTACTAGTTTCGCATTTGGCTAGGGTCAGTGGCACTACTGGTAGCATGAGGCGATACTTGGACCCTACAGAGATTGCACAGGCAGTCCAACTCCTCCAGGATGGCACATCAATATGTGTTATTGCCAGGTTTGCTGTGTCTCCCACCACAGTCTTAAAAGCGTGGAGGAGATTCCAGGAGACAGGCAGCTACACTAGGATAGCTGCTCAGGGCCGTATAAGGTCCTTAACCCATCAGCAGGACCGGTATCTGCTCCTTTTTGCAAGGAGGAACAGGGTGAGCACTGCCAGAGCCCTACAAAATGACCTCCAGCAGGCCACTGGTGTGAATGTCTCTGACCAAACAATCAGAAACAGACTTCATGAGGGTGGCCTGAGGGCCCGACATCCTCTAGTGGGCCCCATGTTCACTGCCCGGCACCATAGAGCTCGATTGGCATTTGCCAATGAACACCAGAATTGGCAGGTCCACCACTGGCGCCCTGTGCTTTTCACAGATGAGAGCAGGTTCACCCTGAGCACATGTGACAGACGTGAAAGGGTCTGGAGAAGCCATGAAGAATGTTATCCTGCCTGTAACATCGTTCAGCATGACCGTTTTGGTGGTGGGTCAGTGATGGTCTGGGGAGGCATGTCCATGGAGGGAAGCACAGACCTCTACAGGCTAGACAATGGCACCTTGACTGCCATTAGGTTTTGGGATGAAATCCTTGGACCCATTGTCAGACCCTACGCTGGTTCAGTGGGTCCTGGGTTCCTTCTGGTGCATGACAATGCCCGGCCTCATGTGGTGAGAGTATGCAGGAAGTTCCTAAAGGATGAAGGAATTGATGCCATTGAATGGCCGCCACGCTCACCTGACCTAAATCCAATAGAACACCTCTGGGATATCATATTTCGGTCCAAACGACGACACCAGATTGCACCTCAGACTGTCCAGGAGCTCATTGATGCCCTGGTCCAGATCTGGGAGGAAATACCCCAGGACACCATCCATTGTCTCATTAGGGGTATGCCCCGATGTTGTCAGGCATGCATACAAGCAAGTGGGGGCCATACAAACTACTGAGTACCATTTTGAGTTGCTGCAATGAAATTTCAGCAAAATAGACTAGCCTGCTGCATCATTTTTTTCACTTTGATTTTCAGGGTGTCTTTGAATTCAGTCCTCTGTAGCTTGATAATTTTCATTTCTATCAAATGATGGGGCATCCCAGTCCATGTCAGTATAGATATCCAGCATGTTATTTTTCCCCATTGAGATCTGATGTGTTTTCAAAGTGTTCCTTTAATTATTTTGAGCAGTGTATATTGCAGACTCTCTGAGCTTTCCAGACACATCAAGTACTCTGCCACCCGGTGAATGTTCACTTGCTCAGCAATCTTGGGCTAACCATACACTGATCTGAATTCGATGGGTCAAGCATGGACCAGCTGAATTTTGATCAGTGTGTAGGCTCCTCTCCTTGACAGAACTTGATTGTTTAATTGATGTCTGTGTGTCATGCTACCCCTGGAGGACCCTCTGGGTTTAATGTCTCTGTATACTCAGGGATGACATGCATGTAGCACCCGCTAGTGTGCTACTAGAATAGTGTAGTGTATTGCAGGTAAAATCATTGTGTATGACTCATGGTAACTGTGTCAGTCTATGATTGAGATTGGGTTGTTGCAGATCAGCTGGATGGCTTAACATGAAATATAAAAGATGCGGCGCTATATCACAAATATTTACGTGAAAAAACATCCAAGATATCAATATAGTGGTTAAGTGACTAATGTGATCCTGAACAATATGTCACAAGCAGAGTAACATGCAGTGCAAAAACAGTCTTTGTGATAATTTCTCTCCTTCAAAGTGCTGCTTCCATGCGGTGAACGTGAGAAGGATAAGGCTGTGCACTCACCAGATGCACAGTGTAACTGCGCATTTAGAGATAAGTTATCTCTACAAGATCCACTGGTAGCTCCTAAAGGTCAGGTCAAGCCAGATATTCCTCCACCCGCTGGATGTTGCTGATAATCCACGGTCTCTCTCTTAGGTGGCTCTATAGGTGATATGTGACTCACCAAAGGCCACAAAGAAAGGAGACCAATAGCGTGATACCATTTAAAAGATTTTATTTTCTATACAGTATAACATAGGTGAGGAAAACAAACAAACACTGACCATGAGGTGAATTAAAAGATGGCCGCCGGGACCTCCATGGTGCCGGCGGCAGAGAGATAATGACGCTGTAGCTCCAAAATCTGACGCGTTTCGTGCTAACCGCACATCATCAAAGGGGATAAGCTTCTCCCCTTTGATGATGTGCGGTTAGCACGAAACGCGGCCAACGCGGCCATCTTTTAATTCACCTCATGGTCAGTGTTTGTTTGTTTTCCTCACCTATGTTATACTGTATAGAAAATAAAATCTTTTAAACAGTATCACGCTATTGGTCTCCTTTCTTTGTGGCCCTTGGTTCATGTGTTCAGCAAACACATAAATGATAAAGGTGTTTGTCGGGCTATTCGCCCGCCGCACCCCATAATGCACTGCACCCTGACAGTGCACTGTGGTTGGCCAAAGCAATGCACCTGACCACAGGTCAGGTGCAATGCTTTGGCCAATCACAGCGCATGATGACGTCACAAGGGGACTTGGGTGACCCCCCCTTCAGAGGACATTTGTTTTAATATTTGTTTTTAATGAAGGACTTGTCAAAGACTGTCTTCTTTCATTTTTTACACTACACTTTTTTTTGTGAATGAGTAGCGGTATCATGTACTCCATACTCATTCACATAGGATGGGGGTCGGGATCTGGGGGCCCTTGTTGGAGGGGGCTTTCAGATTCCAATAAACCCCCCTGCCTGAAGACTTCCACAACCACTGGCCACAGTTGTGGGGAAGAGCCCCTTGTCCCCATCAACATGGGGACAAGGTGCTTTGGGGGCCCCCCTGCCCCAAGGCTCCCCCCCAATGTTGAGGGAATGAAGCCTGGTATAGTTCGGGAGGGCTTGTCCCCTCCCTCTCCTGACCTGCTGGGCTGCATGCTTGGATAAGGGTCTGGTATGGATGGTATTTTTTTAATTTTGGCGTGGGGGGTTTCCTTCAAAATCCATACAAGACCTGAAGGGTCATGCGGTATTTTAGTAGCTGTGCGGTATCTTACCACATACTCCGATGCAGTAAAATACTGCCTAGTGTATTGTCTCCTCTGTTCAAAGTTCGCGGTCAAACTTTCGTTAGGATCGAATGTTCGATCATGAACTGACAGGGGGTGGTCTGCCCATCACTAGTGTTTACATGCATATGTACAAGTAAGTGGAGGAGGCTTTTAAAATTTGTTTGGGTGTTCTTTTTTTATTTTTTGTGAGTTACTTTTATTTTTTAAGCTTTTTTTTATTATCTCTATGGCTGATAGCACCCTATATAATAGTATATTGCTGGTACAAGATCCTCTTTAGGGAGACAGCAGGGATCTTTTAGACCTCAGATGTCACCTCTGGATTTCACTGAAGCTGATGAAGTACAGATCAGAAGGTAGATCAACTTCATCCCCCACCAGTGCTGCCAGGGAAGGACAGCTTTGAAACGGAAGTTCATTTACGAAAGGGGAGATCAGTTAATAAATGTTTGTTGATCTCCCTCTGCTCGACCCGCTGATGCCCACCATGCTCGTTCTGCGCTCTCAGAAGAGTATTTTCAGGAGTGCGTGAAAGTGATCGGATGGGTTTGCGGTCATCCAAATCACTTCCAAAAGACAACTGGCAGTCAACTTAACAGATGTAAACACACTCATATCGCAGCCAGGATGTGCAAGTAAGCGAAGGAGGCTGTTAAAATTTGTTTGGGTGTTCTTTTTTTTACTTTTGTGTGTTACTTTTAAACTTTAAAAAAAAATTATTGCTGAAAGCACCCTATATAATAATAGCATAATGCTGGTAACAGGTCCTGTTTAGGGAGACAGCAGGTGTCTATTAGACCCCTGATGTCACCGCAGAACCCCACTGAAGCTGATTAAGCACAAATCAGAAGCTAGATCAACTTCCCCCCAGTGCTGACAGGGAATGACAACTTTAAACTTGTAAGTAACAAATTGCTCAGCGCTTCCGGCTTCATGTTGTACCAGAGAGAAGATACGCATTTGATTACAAATTTGATTTGATTACAAATGCAGTAAACCAACTAAAGAATCTTTATTGAATAAAGTCTTAAACATATCATTTTGTCTTTGTTTTTATCCACTGCAGTCAACAGTCGTACTTTAGAACTTCAGAAAGATGTACAGAGCCTAAAAACAAAAAGTAAGTAAACGATTCTGGATCTTGACGTCACTAGATTTCTCACCTTACCTTCTCTTCCAGAAATCACCTTTGCCAGTTTTATATGAATAATGGTAATTTTTTTTTCCAAAGGAAGCCTATTGTGGGTGAAACATGAAAGCTGCCCATTGTTGGGACCTTCTTCTGAAATTACTCACGCCTCAATACTTTGGGGTGGATGTACTACAGGCAAATAGACTGTGCAGTTTGCAAGTGCAGTTGCACTCTGCAAGTGCGGTTACACTAATTTCCCCAATAGCTTAGTAAATATATCGTAAAGCTCTGTTGATTTCATCATTCAATCATTTGCAAACAAAAATTCAGTTTCTTTCCATTGCACCTAATTGGATATTCTGTATAACGTGAAGCTTTACCACATTTAGATTTACTAAGGGAAATGTGTTCAACTGCACTTGTAGACAGGTGCAATCAGTCTGTATTTCCCACTGTAGGTGGTGCTCAACCAAAGTGGCAATGCAGAAGGGGAAGGAAGTTGTGAGGAACTTGGTTCCTTCATGACCTCCTGCAGTCACCAGGAAGACATCTGTCCGTTTGGACGCTGGCACCCCATGTGACCTTGGTGACCATCTTGGGTCTGGGTAAAGTCTATTTAAGACTCTAACTTCCAGGTTTGGTGTGCTTGATGAGAGTGGCTAGTGTAGAGACAGATTTCCCATCTGTGAGGAACAGCATACAGCGACAGGGAAAGGTTCCCGAGGAGTAGGATAAGTGCAGGGACTACACCATCTCCCTGTAGGAAGCCTCCCGTTTGGGTATGGACCAACCAGGCCACATTTTCGCTCCTCGCTGAAGAAACTGTCAGCTTCATTCAAGATTATAATCCTCTTCTACTGTTTGTAAGTGTCTCCAGTCGGCTGTACCTACCTGCTGGGCCTGATTGTATGTTGTTGGGACTGTATCAATATACTGTTCACTCCAACCTCATCTTCTGAGTGTGTTTTTCATACACCGGCGCACCAAGCTGCACCTTCCTCACACACTTGCAGTTTGCACAGTCTATTTGCCTTTAGTAAACCCACCCCTTTATGTCACTAACCTGGAACATGCACGTCGATAAGGACCCCTGACCATCCCATTCTGCATGCTTGTTCTAGATACAGTAAGTAATTTAAGGTATTGAAGTCAGAGGGTCAGCATAAGAGAAAGACAACTGCCATTTTCAAATAGCACAGCAATGGCAGCCCCCATGTTTGTCTTGTGACAGGTTTACTTTTATATTAGTGAAAAAAAGACTCTTAGGACCATGGAGCTAAACTCTTCAGAAGACCAATGTGTAAAAAAAGTAAAAAGTAACCTACTTCACCACTGGGTAGTTCAACACTCCCATATCTATAAAGAAACCACTTTGAGACCACCTGATATGCTAAAATACTTGTTTTATGTTATATTAACGCTTCCCTACCGCCCTATAGCAGAACTACTGCTACAGGGCGGCAAGGCTGACCCGCCCCTTGAGGAATTTTGTGCTGAGGGACTCCTTGTTGTGGATGACAATATGTGACAAGATGATTGGTCTACTACAATGCCATCAAAGGCTGGGACCTACATGGCCTTCAGGTCAGATTTTCATTTTGCCAGCTTCAGGATGGAGATCACTGATCTGGCTGTGTGTTTCTGTTGTTGTGCTGCATATAGGACACTGCTGTCCATCAAGAGAAGGAAGACTCAGGGAAAAGGGGTCCCAGAATATTGTCGACTATGACGGCTGCATTGTAGTGCCACCTTACTTGTGCCATGAGGTCTTCCAAATGGGCATCCCACCCCCAGCTGCTGGTATTTGTGATATGAATTGTCCAGTGTATACATAAAAGATGACAATGACAGAGTCTGGGAGTTCAGACACCACCAGAGACTCTTCCACATAGCAGGGGACACCTTGATGAGCTGATAAAGAGAGACAAGGTCCCACTGCACTAGGAACCCTCTCTGGCAAGACCTCAGATGCCAGCAGGTCCACTTCAATATCAGGATGCAGAACAAGAAAGTGTCTAAAAGGAATGAGGATGCTGAGAGGAGACTGAGAAGGCTATCTGAAATGCTGCTGGATGTCAACAGGCCAAAAGAAAGTCAGGTGAATTGCAATTTGAGACTGCCCACCATGAACGAAAGGAAACTGAAAATTTGGAAGGATGAGAATATGATATACATCCTGAAGGTCTATGGATAGCATTAAATTCCCTGGCTGCATAGCAATAATGATGGAGTATAAAGATTTAATTTTGAATTTCTCAAACTTGACTTGTTTTTTAAAAATCCTCAGGACTGTGGGCAACCTCCACCCTCTGAATTTGTTTCTTATGAAATGTAGCGGAGAAGTAACCCACAAACTACAGGTAGAAGGACAGGACAGACTGCATGTTGTAGAAAACGTGCATTGTTGTATAACTGGAGGAAGTTCACTTTTTCCTGGAAGCTGGTTGGTGAAGTAGGGATGAACTGCTATAAATGACATTACCCACCAAAGTAAGGGACATTGAAGGTCTACAGACATTGCCTACTAGATGATTCTAGCTTTTTCTCAGATCTGTAGGTGGATCTCTAACAGGTAGAGGCAGAGCCTAAAGAGGAAGGGGTGGAGTTTACAGATGAAGGAGTTGGTCCTAAACAGGAAGGGGTGGGACAAATTTAGATGGGTGGTGCCCGATTTTAGTCTTGCCTAGAGCAGCACAAAATCAAAATACACCACTGGAAGAGAATATGAGGGTACTCTGTCTGAAGGAAACATTTAGGGCACATTTACACTTTTGTAAACCGGAGGCAACATGGGTTAAAACGCATGCATTATTGCAAATTGTCAAAGCACACGGCAACACACCTCCTGTAAATGCCAACAATTGTAAATTGCACCCCAATGCGCTGTCCAGTAAAGTGTAATGTACCACGCACTTCAGTACACCGCAACACACATACTGTAGATTTTGATGTTGTCGCGTCTTCTAAAAAAGGGGCATGTAAATGTCTTCATCCATCTGTGTTAACATACATGCCCCAGGAAAATGGCTTTATGGCTTAATGACTTGATTGGGAGGGTGTGGTGGGAAATGTGATCTCCAGTTGGTATTCAGGGTGATCTTTACAGTGAATAATTATACTTAAAAACGGCTCCAAGGGTGCATGAAATTAGATCACAAATGGCAAGATATTCTCCTTTTAGAGTGTTATGGAAATTTGGTTGTATCAATAAAAATGCAAAGCTGAAGTTATAAAAAAAATGGCATAGGTTCAAAGAAAGATATCCTACACATCTGATTTTTTTATTAGATATTGAGGATACTGTATTTATCAACATATTTAAAATCTTCTTTATTATATAAAAATGGTTAGCCTTTATGCACATGGCTATAATACAATGTCTGATCATAAATGCATGATCTTGCTGACAGACAGATCCTGCATAACAAAACGCAAGTATGGTCTTTAAATTTAAAATGAATAAAACATCTGACAGAGTCTCAGTCCAACACTAAGGTAAATGCCCAAGAGGGCATCAATGAACCATGCAAACTATATACACAACCCTAATAAGAAGATGAAACACTAAACACAAGTGTAAAGCAACGCAAAAGACAAATACAGAAATAAGTACACACCTGGCTGACCAGGCTCTGTTGGGTGTTTATTGATTTTACTATATTGAATCCTGTTTTGCACTTTTATAAACTTATTTTATTTTGATTGATATATGCTTTCTTCCGCAGTAATTTAGAGGATAGTTTCTAGCGCAGCACTACTTACTACTATATATTTATTTATTTGAAGTGGTGGAACATTGTTTTGTGCTTGCTGTAATATTTATTTACCTTTTTGGTAGTGCATATGATCCTTTCCATTGTCACATGCGTATATGTAGTTTTAGGTATGTACATTTGTTAATTGACTTTAGTTCTTTAGTCAGTTTATATCCATTCTGTGTTAGAGAAAAATTAGGATTTTTGTCTTACCTTTAAAATCAATTTCTTGAAAGCTGGACATGCTGAATGTGCGGGGATGAGTCACTGGTTGTTAGGACTCTTACGGGTGTTAGCTCCCTAACAACCAGGAGCCCTGAGCAGAAAGCTGTCACAATTAGCAGCATTAGTAATAATGCTGCTAAATGTTTCACTTCCCACTACAGCTGGAGGATTGTTCGACCAAACAACTATTAGTTTGGCCTTTTGGTCGAACCTCCTCAACAAGAATAAATCTACATATGCTTTGTACACAATGCAGAGGGTTTCCTTGTTATATTTTCCTCTTCTGGTCGAATGTTCTTATCCTAAAATGTTAGGCTATTTTCTCTATTGGCTGAATATTCTCTAAGACTTTAACGCTACTGGTTGAATTATCTTAAGGCTGTTAGGGAATGTTATGTTTGCCCTGCTAAAGGCAATAAATAGAATCAGACATTTCATACATTACAGGTATTATTAAAGACCTTAGTGCGAATGTCCAGACATTCACAAAGCAATTTTTTTATAGAAAAAGAATGGCTTAGGGATAACAAAGGAATATCCCTAGGGGGGCAAATGAATATCCCTAATAGGTTCAAAAGACGGTTTGTGAAGAGCCGAGAGAATCAGATTCCAAAGGAACATAGGAGAGCAAATGGGAAGAGATGTGAACTACTCCCTGAGCAAAGGCCTATAAGCGGAACTTCGCCTAAAAGGGGAAGTTCCACGCTTTCCTACTCCTTTCTCTCTCCTCTGCCACAAATTTAAATTTTTTTTTTTAGGGGGTGGGGGAGCGGATACCTGTTTTTGACAGATACCCGCTCCCACTTCCAGTTGGATCGCCATATGGCTCCACCGAAAGTTCTCCTCCCTAGCTAATGAGATTGATGTGCAGGGTGGAGGGGATTATCAGGTAGGAAGATGGGTTACTGTAACAAGAGGAAGTGATAGGGGCTCACAGAAAAGGAAGGCCCTGGGTTTGTGCACCCAAGCAGATTTGCCAAGTTGGGTGAAGATGTGGGGGTGGCAAGCTCAGATGTGGCAACCCTGGATGTCACTGCTATCCCTAACAGCTGGAAAGTTCTCCTCCTCCCCACCCGCAACCTCCTGGGACAAGTCCCAGAAGGCTGTGGGACCATTCACAAAGTGCTGCATAGCTCACACACATGCAGGTGTCAGCTGGCTGTAAGGAGTCACAACCAGCTGCCCAAAGGTAACATGCCAATGCCAGGGATCCAAAGACTGATGAAGAACTGGCTTGGGTGAGGATGGCACGGGATCCTTGGACAAGTGAGTGTATGTTTATTAAAAGTCAGCAGCTACAGTTCCAGCTGCCCATTTTGTACAGCACCCCAGCTGCCCATATGAAAGAAACAAAAGATCCCTGTGCTCAAATCCCAACAGCTAGTGCATGCATTTATCCATCAGGTATCCACAGCTAGCTAAAGGGATGTAACCACATATTAATACTAGAAATTCTGAAGGACCCTCTGCACACTGATATATACCCTTTCAAGCAGACTATGCAATAAATAGGACGCCAACTGCGTTAAAGTAATCCCTCTATGGCCAGTCCTACTCTGCTCTGCCTACGCAAATGCTACTGTGGGCACAATGCTAGGGGAAAAGACACAGTGGGGAGCGCTACAAGGTTCAGGTCTGGCTACTGACCCAACATTACAACAAACAAAAGATCCCTGTGCTCAAATCCCAACATCTAGTGCATGCATTTATCCATCAGGTGCTAAAGGGGTGTAACCACAGGGTCAGTAGCCAGACCTGAACCTTGTAGCTCTCCCCATTGTGTCTTTTCCCCTATGCTAGCATTGTGTCCACAGTAGCATTTGCGTAGGCAGAGCAGAGTAGGACTGGCCACAGAGGGATTACTTTGACGCAGTTGGCCAGCTTAAGCATGTATTGCAATATGTGTGAACTAAATATCCCTATTTATTGCATAGTCTGCTTGAAAGGGTATATACCAGTGTGCAGAGGGCCCTTCAGAATTGCCCATATGAAAGAGCACTAAGTTGATAAGGATCAAGGCTTCTTCCCCACAACCTTGATTCAGGGGCTGTGTGGGTCTGACTAACCGAAAGAAAAAAAACCCACCCACCAATCGACAGACACATTCACTCTTGTTGCTGCACTCATCACGAATGACAACTCAGGTCCCGGCTGCTAAATCTAAACAAAGGGGCAGAGCGTACACAGAGATGTCATGTCATGTGGCCATATTATGGAAATGATGTCAAGCCACTATCCCTGCCCCTTTATTTACATGGCATGTGATTTCCTGCAAGCAAATGGTGAAGCCACTGACTTCTAAAGAATTGGTGGGTGCTGGCATCTGCTGTTTTCTAAATACTTATTGACAGCAGAAGAAGGAAGCTGTCATATATTGTAGCAATAGAATAAAATGCTACTATAGGTGATGTTCTGGCTAGAAGATTCGGCGTACAGACAAATACCTAAAAAAGAAGAGTTTAATCTGAATCTGTGTTTGGACTGGACCTTTAGCTCATTCTTAGTGGTTACATGCCTAACGCTCAAATTTTTATTATTTTGTCAGGGCCCTCCTGTGAGAGCGGTTGGCTGGAATTTGAAGACCATTGTTATTTCTTTTCTGATTTTATTTTAAACTAAATTGGACAAATGCTGAGAAGATGTGTCTGAACAGAGAAGCTCATCTTGTTATAGTTAATAATGAAGCAGAGCAGGTAAACAACACTTTATCATTGTTCTTTATCACCTTTCATTCTTGCGTGTTACAACAATGGTCTTTAGCCTCAAAAAGTACAAGATCAAGTCTATTGTTTATTTCATGCGAAAAACAAGTGACCAGCTTGCCTCCATTGCACCTGCATTAAAGGCAATGAATGAAAATGTCTGAAATAATGGCTGGTCTTATGACAGCTGCACAAGTTACTGCAATTCTAGGTCCTCCAGTACAGAATGCATTACAGTCTGCTAATTGCCAATTGCCTACCGAGCACTTATACCCCCTTTCTGCCCAGGACAATTTTCAGCTTTCGCACTTTGAATGACAATTGCACAGTCATGCAACACTGTACCCAAGTCAAGTGGTTAAGGGGAGGGGTTAATTGGTCACAGGTGCTTCAGGTACTATATAATTTGCTGTAGAGCACACATTTGTGTCTGGCACTTTTTGCTGGCTGATCGCTAAAACTTTGAGTGGGAAATTGAAGGGAAAGTGAAAAACAGTTTTACTTTTGACTGCTGATGATTGCTGGTGCTTGTAGTTGTTTTATTTTCTTCTTTGGGTCTTGCCAAAAGGTTTTACTTTGTTAAATCACTTTTTCTGTCACTTTTTAAATAGCATTTTTTTCTTCGTTTCCTTGCCTTCCTTCAGTCTGCTAATTAAGGGGAGGGGTTAATTGGTCACAGGTGCTCCAGGTACTATATAACTTGCTGTAGAGCTCATTCTGAGCTTGCTCATTCTTGATTTTGCCTGTATTTTGCTTGCTGAACCTTTGACTAAGTGGACATTTGATAAGTGGAGTTAAAAAAACAGAGTGGAAAATAGGAGATTATAACAGGAGTCTACTAACCTGTAAGTGACAACTGATATTTCCTATTATTAATATTGTAACTAGGATAAGGAGTACTAGCAGGGTTGAAGGTTTTGTGCAGTGCACAGTGTGCCGTGTGTATGCAACAATGGAGCAACAGCTCCAAGATGGATACCGCTGTGACAGATGTGAGCGGGTTGCCTTTCTGAAGATCTGGAGGAGCAAGTTGCAACACTGGGCAGAACCGACAACCTTGAAAGGGGTCTTCTGCTCCCTGAGCAGGTAGCTAATGAGATTGATGTGGAGGGTGGAGGGGCTAATCAGGATTATCAGGTAGGAAGATGGGTTACTGTAACAAGAGGGAGTGGTAGGGGCTCACAGAAAGGGAATGCCAGCCCTGGGCTTGTTCACCCAAACAGATTTGCCAAGTTGGGTGAAGATGTCGGGGTGGCACACTCAGGGGTGGCAGCCCTGGATGCCTCTGCTATCCCTAACAGCCGAGAGGGCAGACCATCTGGGAGGGGTGGTGAGGGTAGTGCAGGAAGGCCTAGACAACTGGTGGTAGTAGGGGATTCTATAATCAAAAGGACTGATAGAATAATTTGTTGCCACCTCAACCGAATGGTTTGCTGTCTCCCTGGTGCCCGGGTTCGGCATGTGGTGGACCGGGTTGATAAATTACTGGGAGGGGCTGGACATGACCCAGCTGTCTTGGTCCATGTTGGATCCAATGACAGAATACATGGAAGGTGGAGGTTCCTTACGAATTAATTTAAAGAACTAGGCTGCAAGTTGAAGGGAAGGACCTCCAAGTGATATTCTCTGAAATATTACTTGTGCCATGCGCAACTCAGGAAAGACAGGGGGGAGATTAGAGAACTCAAAGCATGGCTAAAGACCTGGTGTAAGAGGCAAAGATTTGGGTTTCTAGAGCACTGGGCTGACCTTTCATTGGGTTGCAACCTATAAGCTAGAGATGGTTAGCACCTAAATGGAAGGGGGTCTGCTGTGCTGGGGGAGAGGTTTATGGGTAGGCTGGAGGAGTATTTAAACTAGGATCGAGGTGGGAGAATTAGATTAAAATAGTGTAGACAGATCAGACAGGGGTCAGTTTTTTATTGGTAGGTGGAATGGGGAACGATGGGGGGAGGGCTATGGCAGATAAGAAGGTTCCCATGTTACAAACAACCATTGGAATTGGTACCATTTGTATGAAAATAAAAAATATGCAAAATACATGTGCACAAGGTGTCAATGAATTAAAGTGTTTGTTCACCAATGCCAGAAGTCTGCCAAGCAAAAAGTGAGTAGCAAGCTTTGGCGCATGAAGAGAACTATGATTTAATTGGTATTGCTGAACCTTGGCTTCATTCGTCACATGACTAGGCCATTAATATTCCTGGCTATGTTCTCTTTCGGAGAGACAGGGTAAATAGGAAAGGTGGTGGTGTCTGTCTTTATGTGAGAAGTGATCTCAAAGTGAATGTGAAAGAGGACCTAGCTGATGGAGAGTGTGATGAGGCTGAAGCATTATGGGTGGAACTGCACATGGGGGTGCGTACTACACAGGTAATCATTGGAGTTTGTTATAGGCCACCCAGTGTTAATGAGGAAGTGGAGACTCAGCTCCTTGCACAGATCGAAAGGGCCTCAAAGGCTGAGACAGTGATAATAATGGTTGATTTTAACTACTCGGAAATTGACTGGAGTAATGGTACTGCAGGGACAGTTAAAGGGCAAAAAATTTACAAACCTACTACAGGACAATTTTATGGTACTGTTCATAGAGGCCCCAACTAGGAATGATGCTCTGCTGGTCCTGGTAATCTCAAACCATGCAGAGCTTATTACGAATGTCCATATAAAAGAACATCTGGGTAGCAGTGACCATAACATGATTTAATTTATTGTTAGCTCTAAACAGCAAGCACATAAAGGAAAAATAAAAACCCTCAACTTTAAGAGAGCTAATTTTTCCAAGGCTGAGAATGCTCTCCAAGACTTAGCCTGGGAGGGAATATTGGCATCAATGAACACAACACAGAAATGGAAGTTCTTCAAAAAGACTGTATGTGAACACACTGCAAAATATATTCCCAAGGCAAACAAGTTTAAAAGGCTAAAAATCAATCCTATGTTGCTTACGGCCAAAGTTAAAAAAGCTATAGATAATAAAAAAAGAGCTTTTATTAAATATAAAAATGAAGGAATGCTATCATCGTTGAAACATTACAAAGAATATAACAGAATATGCAAAAAGGAAATAAAGGCCATAAAAATTGAAAACGAACGACAGATTGCAAAAGATAGCAGGACCAACCCCAAAAAATTCTTCAAATATATTAATAGTAAAAAGGTTCTGTCCAAGCAAGTAGGCCCTTTACAAAATAATCTAGAGTGGGTGACTGGAGACAAAGAGAAGGCAAATGTATTAAATCCCTTCTTCAACTCTGTGTATACAAAGGAGCATGGGGGAGCTATTGTCCATAATGAGCATGGTATTGACACAGCTGCAGATGATCCACATTGTAACAATTGATATGATCCAGAAATATTTAGACCGAATAAAGGTGAATAAAGCACCTAGACCGGATGGCATACACCCACGGGTTATAAAGAATTCAGCTCTGTCATTTCAAAGCCATTGTGTCTAATTTTTAGGGGCTCTTTAATAACTGGCACAGTACCACTGGGTCAAAATCTTTACAAAGGGGTCAAAATCTTTACGAAGTAAGTATAGAACTGTTAGTTTAACTTCTATAGTTGGGAAGATATTGGAGAGTTTAATAAAAGACCACATAGATGAGTTCTTGCTGGAAAAAAAAATATTATACGCAACAGACAGCATGGATTAATGAAAGTTGTCAAACAAATCTGCTTTCTTTTTATGAGGAGGTGAGCAAAACCTTGGACAGAGGGGTGGAGGTGGACGTGGTATACTTGAACTTTCCAAAAGCATTTGACACAGTTCCCCACACACGGCTAATGTGTAAGGTAAAGTCTACGGGCTTGGAAATACTTATATGTAAATGGATAGAAAACTGGCTAAAAGATTGTATTCAGAGAGTAGTGGTTAATGATCCATACTCTGAATGGTCTAGGGTTGTCAGTGGTGTACCCCAGGGTTCAGTGTCGGGACCCTTACGTTTTATATATTTATAAACGATATAGGGTCTGAGATTAAAAATCCCATTTCAGTCTTTGCAGATGACACCAAGCTGTGCAGTGGAATAACATCTTTACAGGATGTCTCAAATTTACAAGCCGACCTCAATGCTCTGTTTAATTGGGCAACTATGTGGCAAATGAGGTTTAATGTTGATAAATGTAAGGTTCTGCACTTGGGGGCTAAGAATATGCATGCATCATACATACTAGGGGGGTACAACTGGGGGAATCAATGGTGGAGAAGGATCTGGAAGTTCTGGTAGTACACAAGCTTAATAATGGCATGCAATGCCAAGCTGCTCTTTCTGTCCAGCAGCTGGTGGTGGAGGGTCGGTGGAGAAGTGTTACACTATGGAGTCTCTGTTTTGTATGGTTCCACATGATGTGCATATATGGGCATATACACTGACACCTGTGGATGGAGGAGTAAGTGAGAGTGAAGGAGAGACCAGTAGGGGCTGTGGAACCTATCCTACCCGGAGATTGCGTGCAGGATCCAGGGTGATCCGAAAGGCGTTTTGGCCCCTGTGGGTCGCAGCGGGAAGGTGAGCGTGCATGCCTGCCATGTAGGGTTCTCATTTCACCACTTGCACCAACACAGGAGCACACATGGAAAGGCATGGCCAATTAATTTGGCCATGTAGCACTTTCTCAGTTTGTTATGGAGATTGTTATCTTATTGTGGTTTAACTAATACGGGTCATTGAACTTATCACCCTTATGTGGTAGTATTTATCCCTGCATAGGGATTCACTGAGTCTGAATTATCACATATACTCTGCTTGAGTCAATCCCTAGATGGGGGAGAATCAATACCACCTGTTTAGGTTCAATTGAACCTCTTACTTGCACCATCAACCACTTGTATATCACTCTATAGATCCGGCCATATTTAACACCATAATATGATTTATTACATTGTACTGATATATATGCCTGTTCTTATTCACTGTTGTTTTATTCTTATGCATAGGGTGGTCATATCCACTTAGTAGATTTTCATATAGCGCTGCATCATT